GGGGGGGGGGGGCTAGAAAATATTGACATAATAACTGGGGGGGGGGACTTTGAAAGTTTGACGGTTGTTGACAGGGGGGGGGGGTAAAAAATTGCGTAAAAACTGTTGACGTAATTAATGGACGACCCTTACGTCGTCTTAACATATTTATTAAAGGCAGTTTAAGTTAAAACATTATTAAAAAATAATCTTCTACAAATGCGCTCCACTTCTTTCTTTCTTTATTTTTTATTATTATTTTTTTTTAATTGTTTTTTTTTTTTTTGGGTTGGGGGCAGTGTTGTAAAATTTTGTTCAACATCATTTAAATAAGTATATTTATAACACTTCTACTATTCTATGTGACCAGTGCATGGTTTTAGTCTTTTAAGTGTTTTGTCTTAATGTATGAGTGTTTGTTGTGTTTCCCCAGTTCTGAGTGTTAAGTCTAACAGTTTGCAGCAATTTGTCTCTCAGTTTAAAACCTTTAATTGAAGACAAGAATATTCGGTCCCAATATAAGAATGCTATGTTCCAAGAGAAGAATGTTTGATCCCAGGGTATCAATGTTTGGTCTCTTTGAAATGGTTTTCTCCTCCATTACAGGCTAGAGATAGTCTTATAGTGAAATGAACAATGTGTCTGAGATGTGAAGTGAACAATGTGTCTGAGATGTGAAGTGAACAATATGCCTGAGATGTAAAGTGAACAATGTGTCTGAGATGTAAAGTGAACAATATGTCTGAGATGTAAAATGAACAATTTGTCTGAGGTGTAAGGTGAACAATGTGTCTGAGATGTAAAGTGAACAATATATCTGAGGTGTAAGGTGAACAATGTGTCTGAGATGTAAAGTGAACAATATGCCTGAGATGTAAAGTGAACAATATGCCTGAGATGTAAAGTGAACAATATGTTTGAGGTGTAAAGTCAACAATATGCCTGAGATGTAAAGTGAACAATATGCCTGAGATGTAAAGTGAACAATTTGTCTGAGGTGTAAGGTGAACAATGTGTCTGAGATGTAAAGTGAACAATATGCCTGAGATGTAAAGTGAACAATATGCCTGAGATGTAAAGTGAACAATATGTCTGAGGTGTAAAGTAAACAATGTGTCTGAGATGTAAAGTGAACAATATGTCTGAGATGTGAAGTGAACAATATGCCTGAGATTAAAGTGAACAATATGTCTGAGATGTGAAGTGAACAGTGTGCATACAATGCGAAGTGAACAATATGCCTGAGATGTAAAGTGAACACTGTGTCTGAGATGTGAAGTCAACACTGTGCATAAGATGAGAGTAAAAAAGTCAGTGTACAGACCCCGGTTAGTTATTTGGACGAGAAACAGACAGACGGACGTTTAATCAACTACCAATTAAATCATGCGAGGCCAATTAAGAGTTAGACAAACCGTTAATATGCAAATGTCACTAAGCTAAGCTTACCAGTTGTCTGGATGCCAAGCACGGACACAAAGGTTCACAGCAACCGTAACGATACCCACCCCAAACTCGTACGCACAAGAAACTCTTAGCCCCCCCCCCCCCCCAATAAAAAAAAATGTGTCGCTGGTTTATACCGCCGACAGTTTGGCCAGCCCAGTGGTCCCCATAATATGCGTCGCTCTCGGGCAGGGCCATGGGGCAAAGAGGGCAGTCACAGTGGGCGCCAAAATCTTCTTTAGATAAGATCTTAATAGAGAATTGAAATATCAAATCCCATACACTTCAGAAAGACGGCGAAGGGCCCAAAATCGAATTTTTACGGATCCGCCCAGGGGAGCACTTTTTCTATGTATTAAGTGGCACCATTTTCCAGCTTCGCCCCAGGTGCAGCATTTTCTCCGCAGAGAACAAATAATAGTAAAAAACAAAATAATAAATAAAAATAGAACTTAACTGAAATGTAGTATGGGGGGGGGGGCAGCAAACGAGGGGTGGAAAATCTAAATTTGGCATGGCACCGGGAATCGAAAGATTATTGGAACCATGGAACTAGCACATTAAAGATACTGGTGGATGAAATATTACTGCAATACTGTTACAACTGAGTACTATTGATGCGATATCTAGCTAGATCTAGTTCATTTGTGAAAAGAAATGGTATCATTATGACGGTAATTCCTACACAACATTGCGTGACATTTTTACAGCATTGGAGACATAAATATGCTATTTTTGGACTGTCATATGGAGCTGAAACTATTCTTTGTGCTGGCCTTTGCGGAGGAAAAAAGATAAGACAAATGGAAATAAGACAAGCAAGTCGTCGCTGCCAAAAGTGCGGACACGCCGGTCGGTTAGAGGAAAGCACGGACAAATATGGGCGCACAAATTAGTATGGACATTTGGGGGGGGGTAAAAAAAAACAAACTGTCCGTACTAAATGCGGATGCCTGGTAACCCTAACTCAGCAGGTTGGCTAATTTTGTCTCCCCCCCCCCCCCGGTTTTCGTTTCGCCGTACCCGAGCTTTCCTCTCACGTGTCTCGTAAACTGGGTCAAGCGGTGACCTTCGAACAAAACATAAAGTCCCCATTCATATTTCCTGTACTATCAGATGTGGCGCTTATTATTTCGAAATGAGTTGTCTTCTGGTTTCAGCCTGTATATAAACCAGCACAGACTCGGTGTTTTAACAGACCTACCACACAGACTTGCAGGCCACACAAGGAACAGATCATTCAGACAAGATGAGGAAAGAACTGATCATTTTGGCTGTTGTTGTTTGTGGTAAGTGTTGCGATACTGCAGTAAATTGCCTAGTTTTGACTTTTTCATAGGGTTGCAAACTATATATAATTTAAAAAAAAACAAATATCCGAAGTCTGCAATTTTTTTTAAGGACAAGCAAATTATTTTTAAAGGTTGCTTCTTAAAAATGAACGTATGAATAAAAAACAATTCAAATATGTATACAACTATATTATGACTGAGTACGTTTATAAGGACAATATGTAATTTTGCGTGAGCCTATTTATTCAAGTTATTTTATTGTACAGCAGAAGTTTGATGACACAAGTTTCTTGCAAGCAAGTAGAAATCATAAAAAGTTGTAATGTTCTATTTCCATTTTGTTTCACTTCAAAAACATTGTAGACTGTAGACTAAATGCTATTTGGATTGCATTTGTGCTGGTTTATTTTCGTTGCTCTGAAGAATTAAGTTTACAAACATATTGTCCATTCAATTATTGTACATTTGATACCAAGTTTTGTCATACAAATCCAACAAGATTATTTTAAACCTCTCATTTCTTAATCTTGGGTCCGAATAGCCACAGGCCAAAATATGATGTACAATGCCACCCTTTGTAAAGGGCACCCTGAATTTCTTACGGGTATTTACGTACAAGTCCTTTTAGGTCAAATTTTAAAGAACTATCCGTAAATTTACGTAGGTTTGGCAATCCTGCTTTGTTATCAACATAAATGTTTAAAAAGCTCCTACTGTTACCTCAGCTAAATAACAACCATTCCCCCACCCCCCACTCCACGTATCGTATTAAAGAAAATAGTTAATTTCATTACACTTTTTAAAATTGAATTTAGAAAAAAAATTATTTTATTATTAATACCACTCCGATTAGTTTTTTTTATTTCAATATTTTTTTTTATTTTATAAAATTTATTTGTTTAAATCCTTTAAAAGCCTAAATAACTAACTTTAAAAAAAAAAAAAAAAAAAAAAAACATAATTTTTACGTAGCCTTTGTTTAAATTTAAAAAGAGCTGAAAGTTTAGATTTATTTTTTTAAAGTTGTTTTCAAAAAAATATAAGAATGTATTCTTTTGTTTTATTTAGTTTAAATATGATGCATATTCTCCCACAGCCGTCCTGGCAGACAACTACTGGTGCCCTCAATCAGGGGAAGCCTTCGAATGTTTCGAGTCAGATCCAAACGCCAAATTTTGCCTGAATAGCGGAAAAACATCGGTGGTCATCTGCTCCAAGTGCAGGAAGAAGTACGAATTCTGCAGGTAAATAATTTCACTTTACACTTAAGTAAGCATTGCTATTTTTCGGACTGATTAAAAAATTTCGTTTTGAACTATTCAACTAAATGAGATTGAACTATGAGAGACAAAATGGCATTCAATTTTTTTTTTTTAAACTTCATTTAGACTTTAGACCAAAGCGTGTGCTTTAAATAGTTTCGGAATTAACATTCAATTTGTTACAATTTTTAAACGTCAATCGTTTTTAGTATAGTAAATGAGACTTGTGTCCTGTAAAAATTTAAAATAAAATGACTTCTAACTTTGACCAGAAATGGCCTCAAAGTATCCAAGAGACCCGATTATGATTGTGGAGCTGGCTGGGAGAGCACCCCGTGCACTGGAGACAACAGTGCTGTCCCCGCTGTCTTCTAAATTTGGAAGGTATGTGAGTCTCATTCATTACGTCGTTAAGCTTCTATGTTTCAACGCTGTGCTCCGTGCTCAAATGAATAGCCATTGTACGAATTAAAATTTTTGTTTGCATTGGCCAGCGTCAACAGTAGTCTGTCTATGATATATGCACAAAATAATATTTCAATAATAAGATACACCAGCATAAATTGAATAAATTCAAAACATCCTTTACAATTTTTATCTTGTATTGCAGATGATTTCCAGTGATCTCCCTTGGATCCATTGCTAAGACTGACATCACATTTCATAAATTTATTTTATAACATGTCATGTTTCACTTAGTCACGAGTTATTGTTTTTTTAAACAAATAAACTTTAAAATTTAATCACTTTTTTGGTACTTGATATATTTTGTTTGTTTGTATTGTTGAGTGTAAGGATAACGATACAAGCCCCTGGAGGGCAAAATATCTCCGTGTGCACGATAAAACATCAAAACAAAATCATAAAATTAATGTAACATCATCATAACAGCATTGAGCCTCTATAATAACATCATCATAACTGCCTACAGGCTCTATAGTAACATCATCGTAACAGCCTTCCGGCTCTAAAGTAACATAATCATAACAGCCAACAGGCTCTATATAACATCATGATAACAGCCTAAAGGCTCTATAGTAACATCATCATAACAGCCCACAGGCTCCATAGTAACATCTTCATAACAGCCTTCAGGCTGTATAGTAACATCATCTTAACAGCCAACAGACTCTATAGTAATATCATTTTAACTGCCAACAGAATCTATATTAACATCATCATAACAGCCATCAGACTCTATAGTAACATCATCATAACAGCCAACAGACTCTATAGTAACATCATCATAACAGCCAACAGACTATAGTAACATGATCATAAGAGCTTGCAGGAAAAAAAAAGGTCACACGTTTTTGCTAGAACTAAAAGAAAAAAGTCACAGGAAGAAGAGTAACAAAATATGAAACTCATAAGCATTTATACACACACAGCATGTGCCACAACTCACAGCACTGAAACTCATAAGCATTTATACACACACAGCATGTGCCACAACTCACAGCACTGAAACTCATAAGCATTTATACACACACAGCATGTGCCACAACTCACAGCAATGAAACTCCTGCATATTGGTTTGCCAATCGGTGCATCGCCCCAGACGCCACGTATTCCTAGTAGTGAAAATGGAGATACGTTGTTGGAAATGGCTCTATCGACAAACGCATCCGCGTTGAAAAATGATGGAGTTTCAGTACCGTTTTATTTTTTTGTCACGTAATGCATTTGCATTGACGAGTACCACAACAATAAATTATACGTCAAGTGGGAAACATTGCAAAAATAAGTTTGCATTATTTATAATATATCATGAGAAAAAAACTATGGCATCAACTCTCACTCTTTTAGTGGGGATAATGACCATAAGAATGATTGCTGTTATTTTATTTTTATTTATAGCAACCGGGGGTAGCATGCAGGTCGATTCGGAAAGATTAGTGAACACATGAAGCTTTATATCATCGGGTCCAACGGCTCATTCGACCACAATGATGCCAATAATGCTTTATCTCAGGCCTGCACAACATACGGCCCGCGGGCCACATGCGGCCTGGCAGCACCCACTTTGCGGCCCGCGAAGTAACGAAATATGTTTCATTCTCATTTATTCTCTAAATAGCTTTCCCCCTGTCATATTTTCTTTTGCCTCGCGCACGTTTTTCATAAAGTATTACGGCCCCGCCTTACATTTTGAGTTGTGCAGGCCTGGTTTATCTGAATAGTATTATCATTGAACTAGTTGCACAATGATGCAAGGATGCGGCTATTCGCACCCGGGGTGGTTCCATATAGATTAAATGGCTTCGGACCCGGGTGCAGTAGTAGTATGATCATTTTTTTTAAAAAATTTTTTTTTCTCTTTGTTATTTCATAGATTCATAGTTTTATTCTTTTTAGTTTTTTTTTCTTTTTGCTTTGTTAAAGTTCTCAGTAGTTTTTTTTATAATTTTCTTTAATTTTTAGCCATGTTCGTAGATCAAGGTTCTTATTTATATCTAGTAGTCAAGATAAAAAGAGATACATTTTTTTCATTAGCATTATAGAAAAGTAATAATATTAATGTAATTATTACGATTAAATCCTTCATTAATTTAGATTTATCTGTATTATTTAAGTTAAAAGTAAAAGATTTAATTACACAGTACTTTATGGAATAATTAGACATTCTAAATGAAAATTTCATTCACAATGAATTAAAATCAACTATTGCTCTAAAAGAGAGCTTGACTTAATCAGAACAAAACCACACCTTTTCGCTGCCACTGGGAGCAATACACATGAACACCAACTGTTTTTCCTGATAACTCATTCGTAACTCAAATCTCCTCTCAATAATCTTTATCATACTTAACTTAACTCACAAATTAGTTGGAATGAACATCTTGGACCTTGGAGGATGTAATGGCATAAAACATGAGAAATAGACTTAGACTTATTATTTTGAAGGGCTAGTCCTTTTTTTTTTCAAAAATACCGGGCTACTGGGTGTAAAACACAGGCACATGATCAAAAATTTAATAATAAAAAAAACTTAAGTGAAAGTGGCTTGTAAACATTTTTGTTTAGTTTGTTATTTGAGTTTGTGTACGGTACCGGTAATCAATAAAATAAATTAGGGGCCAGTATCATGAGTATGGAGTAGGCACCCATTAAAAGTAAAAGATTTCATTTTAATTTAATTGCTACAAAGTATTAAAAAACTTCTCATGAAACTACTGTTGCAAATAAACATGATATTATAAATATAATATAAAATATTTTTAACTAAAAGGGGGGGGGGGGGGGATCGATCCTATACTGGGAATTGATCCGCAAAATATAACATCGCCCAGGGGCCACTCTACCACAGACCACACAAGATCTTGTTTATTAGGCATATCTTAAAACCAGGCCGATGGGACATTTTTGCCGAGGTGTAACCGTCACATGATCAACGGAAAATAAACCCCCACGTGATCAGTCGGGTCCGAATAGCGATTTTGGCTAACTGGACCCGGGTCCGAAAAGCCACTTCGATGATGTAATGCGCCTTGTTTTTCTTTTACGCCTGTACAGTGAGAAGTCTGAGGCAAATAATTTTTAATCCTATACACACACACTCACACACACATGCACACACACACACACGTTGTCCTTTTGGTTTCATTGGTTGAGCAGTTTCGGCCGAAAGTCCTTTTTAACTTTCGTGTTTTGTTCCGGTCTGTGCCGTAACCAGAAAATCCCATTCGGTTGGTCGCTAGTTTTCATGACATCCCGATTCTTCAAAGGAGATCGACCAAAGAGCAGACACGTTCTTTTAATGTCATCATATTCTAAAAGCTATCAGCCTCATTTAAATGAGTAGATTTATAACCCTCCTGATAGATGACCAATGTTACCTGTTTACGACTTGACGTTTCGTGTCAATAGTGTTGACTCATATTCTTGGCGGTTCCATAACCTGTACCAAAGACACAATCTGCAGAATAGAGAATATACTTTTTTTAGTCTTTATTGTTTGGTACCAAAATTATACGTTGTTTTTTTCGCAAGATAAGAATAATTATTTGATCCCAAGATATGAATGTTTGATTCCAAGGCAAGAGAGTTTAACCCCAAAATAAGAATGTTTGGCCCAAAGATTAGAATGTTTGGCCACAAGATAAGAATATTTGACCCCAAAATAAGAATGTTTGGCCCCAAAATAAGAATGTTTAGCCCCAAGATAAGAATGTTTGAGCACCTAATTTTAAAATGGATTATGTTGACCTTACAAATATCTTCATGCGTAATATAACGAAAATAGAATATAACCCCAATAGAATATAACCACAAGAGACCTACTTCTAATAAAACAGTCATAATGCATGACACAAAGTTTTAAAACATGAACGAGCAACAACAAAAAAATCAAGGAAGAAAACAAGAGGTCAGACCTAAGTTGGATATTTGGACGACAGCTTGTTGAACGTGAAATTGGCGAATAAAATCAGGTTGGCCAATTTAGAATATAAAAGCCTCATTAATATTCAAATGACCCTACTTTCGTTGGCTCACTTTGTTTATTCCCCGCTGTTTTTGTTCCTGCCGACCCGAGATTCCGGCTCACGTGGCTTGAACTAGGTCACACTGTAACCTTTGCACAAAATGTCTCGATTCCTATTACCTGTATAGATTAGCGCTTGTCGTTTCGAAAAAAAAAACAAACGTATGTGGTCGTTTGCTCCAAAATGCAGGAAGAAGTACACATTCTGCAGGCAATCCTTTCACGTAAAATTTCATGTAATCCTTCCGATTTGGATTTTTTTTTCTCTCTCAATAATAAATTGATAAACATGAGAAACAACCGGACGCATGCAATTTTAAATGAAATACACTGCCAGGAAGGCGTGTGATTTTAACATTTTCTTCAAAACAAATGTTCAATAACATTGGTTTAAACTTCGATCCTTTAGTTTGGCATGTCCAAAATGCCTGCTCGCGACTCGGTACCGGCCACGATAAACAAAAAAAACAAAAAATAACTTGTCGCGAAAATCTTCTTGAAAATCTATTTTAAATTATATCTGGACAATTCTTTTGGGGATTCCCCCCCCCTCTCACCTCCCCCCTCCCGCCTCCCTACACCTTATGAAACACTAATAGGAGAGAAGCTAACGTCGAATCGCGACGGGCGAGATGTCAATGACGTTCCGTTTTCTGACTCAGTGTCCGCATCTCACCAGCTCAAACAATAGCGCAGGTCTGTTGAGATCCACTAGCTTCTGAACAACGTACCGACACCATAGCAACAACATAATGAGCACCAACATAAATTTAAATCCACATGGCAGCATCATCAAACCTGGTGTGCTCTATAAGCTTCAGCTAATGTCCACTAACACTACCCTTCCACGCCTGGCCGGGCTCTTGACATCTTCCCTAGCTCTTTGGGAACTCTTTCCCATCCGAAGTACGTACATCCTTTTTCTATCTCTCTACTCTCTACGCTCTGTGTATTTTTTGTTTTTGTTGTTTTTTTTTTGGTGGTTTTTTTGTTGTTTTTTTTGTTTTTTTTTGGGGGGGGGAGGTTTGTGGGGGGT